AGAATTTATTGTTATATCTGCCTAATAAAGGAAATACGTAGGATGAAGGGAAATAACACTAGATGATAACTTGATTCTACAGAAAGAAATGAAAAGCATCATGTTGGTAAAAAACTGTATAAATATATGTATATATTTCCTTTAAAAATATAAGATTTTTAAATCAATAATATAATACCGTACAGTTTGTTTTATAATATGCATAGGTGAAATATATATGAGCATAATAACTCAAAGGAAAGTTATTAGAGGAAAGTCATTACTTTTTACTGGAATTAAAGCAATATTAACATGAAGCAGATTGTGAAGGTAAGATGCATACTGTAATCTGCAGAGCAACCACTAAAAAAACAATTGAAATATATAGTTAAAAATCAATAGAAAAATTATAATACACTAAAAATATTGATTTAATAATAAAGAAGTCAGTAAGGAATAACCGAGGAGTAAACATGACATAAATAAAAAAACTAATAACAAAATAGCAGATGTAAATTTAATCACATCAATAATTATATAAATACAAGGTTGGTTTAAGATAACAAAATCCATTAATGTAATATGCCATATTATCAGAATAAAGGACAAAAACATACAATCATCTCAATAGATGCAGAGAAAGCACTTAAAATTTTAGTCCTCTCTTACAACTTGATCTGGTGATGATTATTAAATCAAAATTTGTTGACGTATATGACAATGTATCTTTCTTTTTTGTTAACAGTATACATACATACTGGCTTGCCTTTATTATACTGGGTGCTGTGTACCTGGTCTGGTTAACATTAACCTGACTTAAAAGTTAGCTTGATTAAGTTTGGTTTGGTTTGAATTTGCACAAACGTGTTCTGTGTCCATACGTCAAGGGTTTAAAATTCATGTGTAGGTGTCAACCATGCCCCTTTCAATCAGGGTAGATAATGTGACTTGCAAAGCAGATTGCTTATTAGCATACTGTCTGATCGATCTAATAAACTTTAATTCAGTTCAGTTTAGCTTATTCCTCCCCAGGGTGTAGTGTGACTTTCTCTAACTTGTTGAGGTAAACTCTGATTCCACAGCACTCAGTGCAGCCTGGATGAACTTACCCAACATTTCTTTCGCAACCACAAGCCACATCAGGGGCTGCAATATTCAGTATCTACTCTATTCTCCTACTGCATCTCATTATTCATTCACTGACTTACCAGGTGCACTTTTCTAGAAATTGAAACCATGGAGTTAATACAGAAGCTATTGTAATTAATTTTTACCATTGAGATGAATACTTAAAGTCATCTGAAAATTCTAATAGAAAAGCAGATCAGAGTTTGCTAGTGAAGGTTTTCTCTGCTTGTTATGATATTAATGTATGTGAACTCAATAAACTTAAATGCATTGTATCTAGAATGATATAATTTATCTCAATAAAAATAAAATAAAGTTAAAACCAATTAAGTTTAAACAAAACATGAATTCTCACTCTTGTATTTCTGAAACTTTTTTTTTCTCAGAACTGGTTTTTTGTTATTTATTTATTTATCAATTACAGTTGACATTTAATATTATCTTCTATTAGTTGCAGGTGTACAGCATAGTAGTTAGACATTTATACAATTTATGATGTGATTCCCCTGATTAGTCTATTACCTTCTGGTGAAATACTTTCATTTTAGTTTCTAAAATGGAAGCATTTATGTTTCTTTTGAGTAAAACTGTCTTCTATCCCTACTCCCCTATTCCACCTCTGCATTTCAGCTTCTCCCCCATTTTTTTTTTATTTTGAGACTTTGAGGGGACATGGTACAGTAAAAATAATGTAGATTTTCTAGTCAAACAATCCTAGGTTTAAATATTACTTACAAGAGACAGTATTGTCTCACTAAGCAAGTCACTAATATCTCTGTGCTTCAGTGTTCCTACATTAGAATAGGAGTAATAAAATCTATCTCAGAGAATGTTATGAAGATTAAAAGCAATGTCCATGAAACACTTGGCACAAGTCCATGTACAACAAATATTGTTCGATGTCATTTACTTTCTTTTCCTCTTTGTTTTCTTCACCATTACAACTTTTGTGTATACATCAAATAAACTTATTGGTAGTCATAATGTCCTTTTCCTTCCTTGTGAAGCTTCTCCCAGTTTTGAAGAGCAATAAGATGGTATTCATTCATTAATTCAATGACGATTTGTGTGCTCCCATTATGTACTGGGCACTGTTCTAGATGTTGCATATTAATTATGAACAAAACTGAAACCTCTGCCCTCATGGAATATTCATACTAGCAGTTATAAGTAATCATGCACGTTTAGCTCCTTTTAAAAACCCAAACTGATATAAAATTGAGTAGTATTTCAATGCCCTTGAAAATGCTATGATGAGTTGCCAGTGAGATGATTGTTGTAAGAATGGACTTTAGCAAAGTGAACCTCCTTATGTAAAGTTTGGCATCAAATACTTTAGATAGTTTGAGGGTAAAACTTAAAAAAATAAATTAACGCTTGTTACAAAATCTTACTTCATTTTCTATTTAAAACAACCATTAAAGGCAGGTCTTATTTTTCTTCTATTTATAATAAGCAAATAAAGTTGAAAAAAATGAAAAAAAAAATTGCCTGAGTTCTATAGTCAAAAGGCAGTGGCTCTGTTTGTCTTTAAAATCCATCAGTTTGAGAGACTCATGGACATGGATTATAGACTAGTAGTTACAAGAGGGTAGGGAGTTGGGGAAAAGGGGTAGGTAGTTGGTTAAACGGGTCAAATATAGGGGAGTAGGGGGAGGGTGAAGTGGGCAAAGGGGATCAAATATATGGTAGCTGAAGGAAACTGGACTTTGGGTGGTAAACACACAATAGAATATACAAATTTCAAATTATAATGTACACCTGAAAATTATATAATTGTATTAACCAATGTTACCTCCATAAACTTAATAAAAAATTCCATCTATTTGATACTATGTCAAGAAATGTGGCAGCACAACTGAGTCGACCAACACCAGTTCTTAACAATGGCAAGTAAGATGACCTCTGTCTTTGAAACCCATGGCCTTCTCTACAGGTAGCCTGTTCTTGCTGGCTGCCATTTTTTAATGGCTTAACCGAGGTTATCAGGCACAGATCCTCTATAAAACAGAGGTGGGAATTGATAATTTCAAGGGTTGCTTCCAGTCTTGTGATTTATGATTTTTATGAGTTAGTAGGTTAAAATTTTATTCCATTTATTTGCATTTTTAATCAGAGGATAATATTTAATACAAATGAATAAATCTCTACAGAGAGAATTTCAAGCATGATGGCACATAGGGACAAGGGAGATATTTTATGTGTGAGGCAGGAACAAGTTCCTGGGCCCTGGTCTAGTCCTGCAGAGAAGGCAGTCACCCACTCTGTGTGCTCTGGTCCTGCTTGTGCATTATCTAGAGCTTTAGAGAGAGCAGTGGTTTGGATAAACTTCAAAGTTCTTGTATATAGAGAAGATAAAAGATATGTTGCCTATCTTACACACCATTCGATCATAACAATTTTAAAATACTCCTCAGTCGACAAAAGTCAATGATTCATAGTGTGCTCACTGAAAATATTTTAGTGGACTTCCCAAATGAAGTATTTCTCATGTATAGATTCAATTCTCTTAAAAAGTATCAAAACATGAAGTCACCAATTTCAAATCTCTATTTCGTTACAATTACATAAACTTTTAAATGAAAATAGATGCTAATTTCAATGGCAAAAGTTGATTTTAAAAAGGTACATCTAATACAATCATAGACATATACTAATATCTGCTTGGCCTAGAAAAATTAATTGTAACAACACACAGAAAACATCACTTATTATCCTCTTCTCTCAAAAGAAAAAAAATCTTTGTACTAAAAATCATGTCTTTCCTATTATTTAGTCAGCACAGAAGAGAAATTGACTTCCATAAAGAGCCAACATTTCCAGCTTTCCTTCTTTCCTAATTATATGGAAAGTTACTCCGAAGTCAGACTACTTTTATGCATTATTAATTAACCTGATTCCCCCAGGCAAATATTTAACAAACATCCAGGAAACAAATATTCAGACATTGATTGAATTAAACAAATATTCAGACATCGATTGAATTAAACTGAACCCATAATCCAGATTCCACATGCTGTTTATTTTTTCCTTACCTAAAGAGGATGAGTGGGTGTGGGTTTGACTTTTCTTATATCCCCAGGGTTTTGCGTATCATTTGGTGTAATTGATTTCCTACAAACTGAGTGTCTGGTAGACAAGGAGCATTATTTTTTAGTCAGAGAAATGGGCTACAACCTGGAACACTAGGGCTGATCTTTCTTAAAGTGACCTCTATTTCTTTCATGTAAATCATGTTTAATCTTTAGAAAATTATAAGAGCATTATAAAAAAAAGCCAAAATAAATATAATATCCAAACACATTTTTGTTTATGTTAATAAAAATGTTTGAATACCAACAGTATTACACATCAACCAACAATAAATAATCATGGTTGCCTTGTGAAAGTGTAGTTGGTTTGTCCCAACTTGATAATAAATTGCATCAAAGGCACAGGAAGAAAGGGCAAGGTAAACACTTTTTTATATTGTGATAAACCTTAAAAATATAGCATCTTTGAAGATTTTGTGACTATTATTTTTCCTTTCTCCTTACCCATTAGCTCCTTCTTTTCCTTTATTCAAAAAAAAAACTTATTGAGAATATTCTATACTGCAGGCTATGTGCAGGGCATGGGTCAAGTTATTCTTTACTTTATAAGTAATAGTTATTATACATAGAATTTTGAGAGGGAGAAGAAAAAAGAGAGGCAAGAGGAGGGGGTGAGAGCAATGAATAAGTAGGGAGAAAGAATAAAGACAAAGACAAGCTGTTAATATTAATTTACATTATGTTACGTTTTATTTCTCCTTGGATTGGCTGTTTTATTCACTTGCCAAGTATTTATCGAGCAAATACTATATTCCAGGCATTATCATATGGCGGGGAGATACAAGTTAAGAAAGACTTGCTACACTTACCTGGCAGGGGAATACCATGATCACTGAGGGTGGTTTTCCCAGGGCAAGGCTCATGCATTGCAATCTGGATGTGCTGACTCCTGTGATTTCCCCAGATGTGGGAAACTTCACTGAATAATTTGTGGTAGTGGGAAACTGCATTTGTGCTTTCCTCTGTAAAACAAAAAAAGGAAGACTTGCTAATTCCTGCTCTCAAGGAAGGTACAGCCTGGGTCAGGGGAGGTAAATAAAGCAGAATTGTCAGGGGGTGGAGAAGGGTGCAATGCAGTCAAGCACAAAGAACTTTTTGAGCCTAGAGAAAACGCACCTAAGTCAGATGGGAAAGAGATACTGAATTTACTCTGAGATAGCCAAAGTAAAACAAAACAAACAAAACAAAGCAAAATAGAGCATTTTTACTTGCCAAGTTGGCCTAGATAAAAAGAGAAGGGTTTAATGAGTAAAAGGGAATCACATGGCTATACTTTTTCAGTCTTATCAACCTGCAAATCCCATTATTATTTTAAACATGTGAAAGTAAATTTACCATTTGCCGCATCATGTTTTAATGCTTACAGACTGTCAACTAACTTTACAGATATATATCCTGCATGATTATATTGTGTGGCAGGTCTAATTTATAGACTTATCAATATTGTTCAGTTTCTTTGACAAGTCTCAAATTGTTTCACCATCAGAGCAAATTATTCATAGTTCAATGACTATTTTAATAAAATTGAACAAACTGCCTGATAATCTTGTCTGTTTGCTAGTTATTATTATTTTATTCTAATGAAGTATTTTTTTGTTGTTGTTTATAATGATGTCATTGACAGTTTCTAAAAAAATATCAGCTCTGCCAATCATACCATTATGTGATGGAAGCTCTGATTGGAAGTTAAAGTTGGTATATCTTTCTTCTCTGCGAGCACAAGGGACGATACACTTTATATAATTTTCTTTGGTAGGCTGTCACTAAGTGAACAGCTTTATCCCACTGTACAAGCTGTGCATAAAACAAGAATAATTTAAATGGCTGCCAATAAAAAAAAAAAATCCTTCAGTTTCAATAGCTTTAGACAAATGATCAAAGTAGTCCTGGCATGGATATATTAAACAGCACTTTGAAGTTATTTTATAACCAAGGAAGCAAATATAGAAATAGAATTTTTATACATTATAGTATAGATAAGATGTATAATTTTATCAAAATAATGTTAATATTAAAACAAATTACCCTAAATTAGATATTAGAACTGTTCAATGATGATATAATAATAAGAGTAAAATAGTACAGATTTTTTTATAACTCTGATTTTGCAAATTTATATCTACTTAATATAGCATTCCACTTAAGGTAGCATTCACACTGTGAGGAGAGAAGGCCCTCTTAAGCGAGATATTAATTTATGAGCAGAGATATGCCAGAGATTGTTGAATAGATAACATAATAAAAATCCTGAAATTACTTCCAGCTTTTGCCATTTTATCTTCATCATATAGGAGAAG